ATTATTATTATTACTTAGTACCGATTACTCACTTGATAATTGATGACATACTGTCGGGATGTCACTCTGTACGGTTAACTGGACATAGGAGATGAAAGGCATGCAATGATGACAGGGAGCAACTGATAGCAATTTTGTTATCATGGCACGCTACGTGGAGTGTGTCGCCTTCAGAGAGGCCTTCAGACTCTTCATGAAGTGGTCGTGGGGAAGGAATAGACGTTTGAATGTTGGGAACAGTACTCCTAACCTTGAATTACCTGCCTTTGGGATTCGCTACACTTTTCTTTCTAAACATGTCTCCAATATTTTAGAACATCGCACTATTTTGGCGGCTCTTGATCAGGCTGATCATTTGCATTCATGAGACGAACGAATTCAAGCCCCCAATAAAGAAATCTGTGGGTTTAGATAATACGAAAGATCTGAGCATGATCAACGACTGCAGTTGTGGCAGACCTCTTCTTGTTCATAAGGTCGCTCTCGTGAGCTCCCATTATGGCTACATGAAAGCTTGTTTACGCTTTACTGTGATTGAGCGATAGGTCTCCTGTGGTTTATAAAAGATTCTCTATCCGATATGCATTCGATTGACGTCTTGTGCTTCACTGAAGCACTTCGTCCAAAGCTGTGACAGCTAACATTATTTATTTATTTATTTATTACATGCACTCCTAGGTGCGCTACATTCCTTGATACCATAATCAGGTCGGGACTAAAAGAAGAACGGAAAGAAAAGAAAAGAATACAAAAATCACAGAAACGTAACACAACTCAAGAGAACACAACACAAATGAGCTCAAATGGCACAGAACAGACACAAAATGTCAGCGGAGTAGTAGAAAAAGTATAACTACTACCTACATCATAGGTAAGGAATTGTCCAGTCGTCGGGTATGTAGTATATAAATAGTAGAGTACGAAGAAAGGAAGAAGTCGCCCGTCTTATCCCCTCGAGTTGTAGTGTATACGTGAAATCAACACGAGTAATGTGAAAAAAAAATTTTTTTTCAACAGGCGGAGGTTAAACTGATTGGAATACATTGGATGCCATCCTTAAGTAATTATTAAATATTTCATTTATTATTTAATTACCCTGCAAAGAGAAAAATTTAAAAGTAAATCATAGTTAAATTGAAGCACACCAGATATCATACAATACTATGGATTTAGTGCAGTAGTTGATGTCAGAGGTGGCTCCACATCCAGGATGAACCCGAAGGAGAACTCGATGTTCCACTCACACCTCGATTCACCGGGGTCAGTTTTGATTAAATGAGCAACCGCACGAAGCGATCGGATGGTAACGAGGCGGTGGTCGTAATTTGAGTGGCCCAAACAGATGCTTCCTGGCCACGATAACATCAGAATAAGAATAATAATCTAACTTACCTGTGTGTAACTCTAGTTGTGATAGAACCAATAAAAAGGGCAGCTGGAATCATCGAATTCCCCCTCTGAGGCAACTGGGAACTCAGCTAGCATTCAACGAGGTACGGATCCCATTTTCACATGAGTGAGAGTAAAGAGTGCAAAAGGGATCATCGGTACAGTGCGATTGACCTTATCCGCAGTGAACACCAGCTCCAAAATAAGGTACGGTTAGTCTATAGCTTATCCCAGAGGCAGTGGTTCTCCATGTTTCCTGCAATACACGTCACAATTACTGCGGAAGCAAAAGTTCATTTCAGCAACGTTGCAACCATACAATTAGTCAAGCAGGAGTCCATGAATCCAGGAGCGTATAGGAAAAGAGAACAGCAGCATTGGCAGAAGGGCTAAAGATAATCGAGCAACCGACTCACTTTTTGCTTCTTTTATAGACCGACCAAATAGTCTTTATTATAGCACATGCTGAAGGTGTTTACTCGTTCGTGCATGTGTGAACATGTCCTACGCTCTGCAGACGATTTTCAACATTTTTGGTTCCTCTATCTCCACTAATCTGATGTTTAGTTGTGAGAAAGATCAGGTTGACGTCGAGCATAATTGCAGATTTCGAGTAGGATCGTATGGGAAGCTAGAACAGCGGTCGATCAGTTCAGGACCGTCGATGAGTGAGAAATAGTTTCTAAAGTTCCACTGTTCATAAACGATGCAGTTCGTAATTAACGATCGATTCTCTTCGCTGGCTGCAATTTGTGGTCTTCTGACTTATTCTTGAGTTACTCAACTTTACTAGATATAAGTGAATATCATACATCCCTATTATAGGGGAACGACACCTGATTGCAAATACAGAGCTTCGTCCAGGACCTACAAAGGACAAAGGTTTGTAGAAGTCAGAGGAAACGGACGATCTTTTTTTAGGTTTGAAGGGTGGAACGAGACTGTAAGAGCTTTGCGGTGAGCATCTAAGAAAAGAAAACTGAACACTCATAAGTTGTGCTCAGTGCTGTGTGCTCAGTGCTCAGTTGTGCTCAGTGAAGTGCTCGCACAAGTTTCTTTCTTTCCTTCTACATCATCTCTTATCTTTCTTACAACTGCCATTATTATTATATACCAGCGTGGCTGTCGCGTACTACTGCAAAAAATAACATGTTCAATCGAATGGTACTGATCAGCGACAGTATATGTGTGGGCGACACCCTATCACTCACCTCTCTGTTTCTCTGTTGCAAAAATACAAAAATGGGATAAAACCTGATAGTTACAAAACTGACACCAGACCATTCTAGAAATAGAGCATCCAGTGGCTGTGCCATGAAACGAAATGCTCAGTTGCTCCCTGTCATCATTTGCATGCCTTCTTCTATAGTCTGGTTCGTAACAGAGTGACAGTCCCGCAGTTTTCATCATTTCAAGTGTTCGTTACAAGTTTATATGGTTTTGTATGTATGTGTTGTGTCCCTATGGTCAGGGGCCAAATAACTTTTCATTTAAAGCTCGAATTAAGACACGAAAACTAACATTTACATTTACTAGATCTTCATCCTGCCTAAGAGCGAGCAATCGGCAAACTAACTGCTAACCTACCGATTGGACTTGAATGGAAGTTGTAATCACAATCGCAGCATCACCCTATATTGATACCATAACACCAATATGTTTGCATTCCTGCCTGACGCGGTTCGCTTAAGCGTTTGGATCGCGTTAGTTTCGATCAAGGTTTAAGTTTAGAAGTGTCTACGACTGAGCGCAAACTAAACTGGCAAACTTTACGCAGCTGAAGTTACACTGTAGCGGTTTTCTCGCGAGTTGGCAGTTGAAAGGATAAAAGGATAAAGTCTTCGCCGTTGATCAATCCCTTTGTGGGATGCGGCACGCATTCTACTTCCATTCAGAATCGTAGTGGCTTATTGAATGCGATGTGGCCTATACAATGACTTGCGGGGCCAGCCGATGTACAAGTCAGTGTTTTATCCTCCCAGACGAATCTGGTACCAATTCACCGTCCGCAGGGTAGAAGGCTTGGTTGGCCTGGGCGGGAGTCGACCCGGGATTTGAACCCAAGACCGCAAGAGTGGTAGAGCGCGCCACTTGTTACTACACCACCTCAGCCCAATTGCAATTACACCCTTTTATTTATTGAAAACGAGCACAATATTTTTCGCATCTCCTTCATGAGGGTTGCCTTCGATAGGGAGAAGTCCTTCGATGAAAGTTTCCTTCTTCAGATGTTCCAAATGTTTCTTCGTGACACAAAGCTGCACATCTTGTGAAGACGCCACTTGATGCGATGAAACACGTGACAAGAGTGAAATGCGCATCAACTACTTGCGCGGGCCCTGCTTCCATCACCATAGCAGAAAGCATAACTATCAACATTTATTTTCTTGGTTCAAGGTGGGCATCGCAGAATGAATCACCTTGCTAACGCACTGCACGCAGCCCGTATAGCCTGACACAGCCGGAGACGTAGCGAGACTAACCTTCAGTGCAAACGTCGCAAATTACGTTATTTTCCAAATACATTGTTTTGTGACGGCATCTCTTCGCCAATAGGTCATACGGCCCCTCTCCCATCAATATATTATTTAATTCCCATGGAGAAGCATAAACATGCAAATGCAAATCTTTAATCTGTACATGCTCTGAGCAAAACATCCAAGACAAGTGAGCATCAAACACCTAAAGGATAAGTGGTTCTACTGGAATCACCTCGAATGTACTTGCAAGCTACCGACAACGATAAATGATAAGAAGATCGTATGAAGCACCATATCAGGAAGACAAATTGTCTATATACTATTCCTTAGCCATGTCATCTTGGGAACCCGTTTGAAAG